GTAATTGCAACTTTTTAATCAAAGATTCGATGACCCTACAATCAAATGGAGATGTAAAAAAGACCGTTTTCCTAATAATAAAAAGTAATGCATAAGGAAGAGTTTAAGTCAATAAAATTCAATAAAATTTTCAATTTCGTAAAATGAAATGCGTAATAAAATCCGGAAAGCTGGGAAGATTAAGCAAAAAAAAGTGGATTAGTCACTGATGATTTATCTGGAGATGCACGCACTGAAGTACACATCATAGAGCATCAGCTGCCTAGAAATACAAAATTGAATTATGGACACGCGTACATTTTATAATAAGACCAAATTTAGGATATTGTGAAGGACACGAAAAAGAAGCGTTTCAGTGCTGGATGCGTTATCTCGGTGGGCCTGCAGTGTTTGGAAGCTATCGAAGAGCTGCACCGGATTGGGTTCATACATCGGTGATTGAACTTAAACTTTCCCTCATGCAGTTTCTTGAGTTGGACTTCAGGCTTTCAGTGACACAGCCAGGAATTTTTCGCGATTAAAGAAAGTTTTTACAAAAAATTTTGGAAGACATTTCGATAAGTTGACAATTTCAACGCACGGGCTGCCCGTGCGAAGATTCGTTTTATGCATGGTTCCCCGCAGTTTGTCGCTACACTGGCTTTTTCAGCAAATGCTTCTAGCTAAACAAATTAAGACTGGCAGTCAGAACTGTCAGAAAACACCTCCTAAAAATTTCAGCTTTCTTGCTTTTCTGGCTCCTGAGTTGGCAACTTACCGGAAAAAACTTTCACGAGCCCGTACGTGGATGCCACGCTTACCCGGGAGCTGGGTTTGAGCTCATTAATATCTACTTGGACGGGGAACGTCAGCTTAAGATTCCAGCTTTCTAGCATTTCAGATCCCCTAGTTATGAACTTACCCGAAAAAAATTTTGGCTGGCTCTTACGTGGGTACCACGCAGGCAGGGCCGCCCATTTCCGGGATGGGGGCCCGAACGCGCATGTAGATTAAGTTTCCAAAGTTTCAGCCCTGCAGTTTTTGTAGTCTTAAGATGAAAAATCGGTGCAGATGAACACACAGACACACACACACTCAAACAGACAACTCTTCGTCAGTGTGCGTTTTCTGCATTGCATAGCTGCAAAAAACGTATAAAAAATGAAAAATGTTCTCAAATATTAATTGGCATATCAGGGGCTTGGTTGCAAGAGAACAGTTCATCATTCTGGCTGCAAGCACAGCTGCGGAAGAATCCGGGAGCCGGGGCGGCTTTTCAGCAGTCAATTATAATAGCACTAAAAAGTCATTTTGCAACTTGGTGTGTGCATTTTAGAATCTTTCTCTTCAGAGGGACTACTATGATACTCGAACGCCCGCTTGATTTGGCAAAATTTGACATGCATGAAATTCCATTGGTGCCACTGAAGATCTACAAATATGTCTACGGTGTCCCAAATTAGCTCGGTCTGGCAAAATTTGACATACCTGAAATTCCTGTGGTACCAGGACATCCACATAGGAAATTTAGCGCCTATCATTATCTTCGTTTAGTGATAATTGACTGAGGTACATTAACAAAACTTAGCATATCTGCAAAATCGCAAAAAAGGTGAGTAAACTCAAGCGACTGATGAATTACGTATTTGAGAGTGTTCAAAAGAATCCCATTAGAATCTCACTAGATTTGGTTGCTGAGCAGACATTATCACTTATATTTCAGTGATATAAAGCCATCAAATTTCACAACTGGTCGCAGCAGTCTAATTCATGGCGTTCGCAAAATCTATCTGATTGATTTTGGCTTCAGCTTTCAGTATGTCGATTCGAACGATCGTGTCAAACGCTTGCACGTATGTCTTTTCTAGCAAATTCATTTCATTGGTACTTTACGATACTCTCGAAGATCTATAAATATGTTTGTGCTGTCACAGAAATTAGCTCGCAATTTTCAGCTTATCTTCAAGAATAAATTTTGAAGTCACAGAACTCCATCACATTCGGACAAATTTCCTGATACTATTTTGTACAAAAAAATCTTAAAATGGAATCTAATTATAGAGCAAAACTGAATAAAATTACTTGTAAATTACTACAGATTTATTCTTTTGAAACAATGCCTCCCCCATTCCTCCTTTTTCTAGCGGGATCACCTCACTGCACTAGCAAGGTCGGAGCTTCAGCAACATAATAAGCGCTTTATTTCTCCTGAAACTGCAATTATTTGTTATGTTGCTTCGAAATCGAGTTTTTTTTTTCAGTTTGTTTGACTATTACTTTGAAATGAAATCTGACAAATCCGTTATTTTTGTGCTTGTGAGGTCTAGTCTCCAAATTCAATAAAACTGAAGAATCGTAAAGCCTTTCAGATTTACTCCTTCGGCACCATCTCCTATTTCCTTTCTGGCGGTACCCCTTTTATGGTACCAGCAGCTTTGGTACCACGGTAAATTGGATGTTTTACTTACCCCGAAACAGCATTTATTTATTAAGTTGTGCACTTATTAATCAAATAAGTTTGCAGATGTTTTTGAAATGTTTCAGGAAAGTTCAATTTTAAATTAATTTTCATCCAACCTCATATCATTTGTCTAATTGCTACTGAGTTGAATGACTTCTTTTCCCGAGGGTTGACGCCTTCAGTCCAGAAAACATCGGCATCAGATCGATGTTCTACATAGCTGATACTCCGAAAGCCTTTGATTACGCAAAATTATGTGTGCCTTATTACATTCAATTTCTCAACCGTCTTTTTGGGCATAAATTTTGATAAGGATCTATTTAGTCTGATGTCAAGCTTTGGGTATTTTCACTGCCTTATGGGCTGTGGGCAAATTTTTAATTTAAAGATTTTTTGCAGAAAAACATGAGTTTCAAAGGAACAATGCGTTATGCGGCACTGGCAAGTCACCTGGGGCGTCCACCGAGCCGTCGCGATGATCTGGAATCGTGGATGTACCAACAGGTGGAACTTACTAAAGGAGTACTGCCATGGAAAAATGCTGAAGACGAGCTGGATATTATAAGCGCCAAAGTAAGTTCGTCCAGGAACCAACTCGCTGGACTTTTTCGTCGCCATTTTGAAGTTTTCATTTTTAATACCTTCAAAAATTTTTTTTCTTTTATTATAAGGTACAGCTTTGCTCAAATGTTTCTATGGAAAGACCCACCGAGATAGTAATCCCCTCAGTAGACGAAACGGGCACACAAAAATTGACAACAAGTGACCTCAGACGATGCAGCGTTGGTCAAATCAACTGGAAAAATTGCTAGCAGAGCATTTGGAGATCCAAGCCTTGAATTACAACTGGCCAAATTATCGTTGTATTTCGTTGGCATCGCAAGTAGCAGTGCCGCGATTTTTCAGAAACAACTAGCGTTTTGGGCAAGATTTTTAAGTTGTTTGAGTTCTTTACACCAAGCAGTTCAACTTCCTGTTTTTTTCCACTCACAGGCGTGCTCCTGCTTTTAATGCATTGGGCAAGAGTACATTTTTAGATGGAGAAATTTTACAGTAATCTGAAACGTAGCGGTGGGGATAATGCTGCAGAACTAATCAAATCTTGTTCTGTTTTGAGGAAAGTGTGCGAACGAACGACGGTATGCACAAGCTGATGCGAGCCTGTCCAAAGAGTTATGTGGATATAATGAAATACATTGCCAGTTTACACAAGAGGAGCAGGCCAGACTACGATTACATCTATAAAGTGCATAATTTACTTTAATTTTAACACTAAGCAAAAGAAATTTAGTGCACCCTATGACACGAAAAGAAGTTTTCTAAATTGTGTAAGAACTCGAAGTTCAACGGGTTCTTCTAGTTACCAATTTTTGAAAATCCAAAATGGCGCTTAGTACTTTTGTTACGAGCATCGCAACCGCATGATCAGCAAATTCAAGATTTGGTACCTTGATCAGCTATTGTTTCATCGTTGTGCACTTCCTCGAAACTCTACTTCTCTTTTTACAAAGACTGAATACAGAATGAGGTTAAGGCGGCAGCAGTGTATCCGTTGCACTTAAAAATAATAAAACGAAAGCACTTTTTGGAAGTATCATTGTCATCCTGAATTCTTAGTCCGTTAGAATTCTTGGATGTAGATACCGGGGAAACTGACTCCGTAGTTTTACTGTGTTTTTCCTTCACCGGCTCAAAATTTCACTAAACGAAGTCCATCTATTTCCATTGTTTTTATTGGTTTTATTTTGCGCATTACGTCTTTAACATCGTGCGGATCTACGTTTTGAAGAAGAGACGTTGTTGATTATAAAATAGCACTTTCGATGTTAGGAACAGATGAGAAAAGCTGACTGTAAAAATGCTTGCAAAACGGATACTATTCATCTCTGATTTTCGTCCTACGGCTATTTTTGTCATTGAATGTCTCCGACTTTGAGATAAACAAAAACTTCGAATAAGTAGATACAAATATGAATCATGCCCAAAAGCTGATTGCAGAAGTTGCGAAATATTCTGCTTCACGAGCATCTGCGGGAATATCCGTACGACTGGGAGCCAATAGACACCACACATCGAAAGCATCGCTAGAAAAGCACCCATTTTCAACCTGATTCGATCCGATTTTTATCAGTGTGCTTCGCTTTCATTTAATGTTAGCCAGTCGAAAATTGTAATCGGCATGCTTTTTTTGACACAATTAAAAATTAAAACAGAAAAATAACAATGTTTCTCTCCGCGTATGCACTGCGCTACACTTATAAAACCACCGTTCATGTGCTTGCATGCCTTCTCGACCACTGGACTGAACAGACACGTCACTGAAGCTGTCAAAGTAATCCCTGATTCAGCTCAACCATACTTCACGTTAGACTCCGACGGGTTGTAATTTGAGAAAAATTTCTTCGGTCGTAGTAATAGTGATTTACAGCGGCCTAACAAATGAGAAAGCAAGTCGGTGACTTAAATAGTTTTTGTGCACTTTTGCACATTTATGCAAATGCAAAAACGCATATCGACGAGTGATTTCGGTTTGTTCCTGCATATGTATGTATGTGTGCGTGTGTGTGTACGCGTATTCGCATCTCCAACACTCACTTTCAACTCAGCAACCGGTGAAGCTAGAAAGTCGAAATTTTTGAAGTATGTTCCCATATTGCATAAGCGATGCTTCATTTTTAAAATCATCATTCAAGTACACCTGAGTCTC